CGGACAGGGAAGCACTCATGCGCAGTCTGAGTCGGTTCCGTTACACTACTCCGGTCAGGCGCCCGTATCTCCGACAGTAAAACCGCTGCGCCCAAGGCAGCCACCCCTTCCACCCACCCCTTGTCCCGGCCCAAACTGTACCCATTGCAGCTGATCCATGCTATCAGTTTGCCACCCCGCTGTTAGTACAGGCAAAGCAGTATGGCGGTCTCTTCCGTAGTCAGGAGAAAGCCACGCCCCTTCCTCCACCCACTGAACACAGCTGCAAAAAGGGACGTGACATTATGCCGCCGACACGGAATAGGTTTCATTGCCATGCAAATGCAGTTCTGCTGGAACATCACTTCCTACAATAATGTCACCCCCACCAGCAGGTCCACGGATTGCTCAGCTATAGCGATCATGTGACCAGCAATTTAGAAGCTGGAGATTTCATTCGTCCCATCTGGATCTATGACAGGATCTATCGTCCCATCTGGATCTATGACGGGATCTATTGTCCCCATCTAGATCTATGACAGGATCTATCGTCCCATCTGGCTCCATGACAGGATCTATAGTCCCATCTGGCTCTATGACAGAATCTAGTCACATCTGGATATTTGACAGGATCTATCGTCCCATCTGGATCTATAGCCCCATCTGGATCTATGACAGAATCTAGTCCCATCTGGATCTATGACAGGATCTATAGTCCCATCTGGATCTATGACAGAATCTAGTCCCATCTGGATCTATGACAGGATCTATAGTCCCATCTGGATCTATGACAGGATCTAGTCCCATCTGGATCTATAGTCCCATCTGGATCTACAACAGGATCTAGTTACATCTGGATCTATAGTCATATCTGGATCTATGACAGAATCTAGTCACATCTGGATCTATCGTCCTATCTGGATCTATGACAGGATCTATAGTCCCATCTGGATCTATGACAGAACATTTCTCTGTGAAATATGTTTAAGATGAGTGAACTTCACAACCACTTTAACCCTTACTAAAGTAAAACTTCCGGCAGTGGGAAATCTGAAAAGGTGCCCAAAAGTGAGAACCGTCAGCTAGCTCCCGAAGCTTCAGCCTGATCTGGCTTACAAAGTGAGTCTTCAGAAACGGGGTCACACGCGGGGCTGCACCCCACTTCGGGGTCTGGAAAGGGCTCTTTGGCAAACACTTGGTCATATTCCAGGGTAACCCTCCTCCAGTCCAGAGGAGTTTGGCCTTCAAAGCAAGGCTTAGCAAACACTGATCCAGCCAGCTGCTGGAGAGACATCAGCTGAAGCGGCAGCATTGGTGAGGAACCTTCAATGAAGTCACAGAGGAGAGGAGCTTCCACTACACAGCGCCCTAATCCTAGTCCGACACCTGTGGGGGAGATTTACTAAAACTGGAGGGTGCAGAATCTGGCACAGCTCTCCATGGGAGCCAATCAGCTTCTACCTTCAGCTTGTTCAGTAAACCTGGAAGCTGATTGGTTTCTAGTCAGAGCTGCACCGGTTTTGGCACTCTGCAGTCTTAGCAATCCCCCCCTGTATGGACAAGGCCCATATGAGCACCATGAGGCCATCATCTGATGACCAGACAATGTTCTCTAGAAAATGTGAATATCCAGTCTCTTACCCTAGGAAGGAGAGGAGGGGGTCTGAAAACACAACTTTTGTATCTGAGCCCCCCCCCCCCCCCCCAGGGAATAAAGCAATGTGTAATTCAGACACTGGAAGCGTTATTTACTGTCTTAGGTTTTGCTTTAATCTGGACCAGGACATGCGTTTACAGCTTTGGGTGATGCCTTGAGAGCAGCAGAAGAATCCCACCATCACACCTTCCTATACAGTCACTGTGTACCGGACAAACGTGTCTGACATTCCGGTACAGAGAGCTGCCTGAAGGCTGTTCATACATTTCATCCACCAGATTATTACAATTGATTCAAGACTCACTCCATGCTGACACCCATCACCATGCAGTCAAAGGAACATAAGTGGTGCAAATGATGGAAGAACAATGAGTGCGCAGCAATTAGACTGCTGGACAACCTTGTCATTGTACTGGAACCAGAATTGCTTCTCCATCAATCAGCCAGATCAGTAAAGCTCTGATGCCCTATATACTCATACACAGGACCCTACACACCGCCACTCCCAACTCTCCGATGACCTATATACTCATACACAGGACCCTACACACCGCCACTCCCAACTCTGCGATGGCCTATCTACTTGGACATAGGACCCTACACACCGCCACTCCCAACTCTCCGCGATGACCTATACCATACACAGGACCCTACACACCGCCACTCCCAACTCTCCGATGGCCTATATACTCATACACAGGACCCTACACACCGCCACTCCCAACTCTCCGATGGCCTATATACCCATACACAGGACCCTACACACCGCCACTCCCAACTCTGCGATGGCCTATCTACTTGGACATAGGACCCTACACACCGCCACTCCCAACTCTCCGATGACCTATATACTCATACACAGGACCCTACACACCGCCACTCCCAACTCTCCGATGACCTATATACTCATACACAGGACCCTACACACCGCCACTCCCAACTCCTCGATGACCTATATACTCATACACAGGACCCTACACACCGCCACTCCCAACTCTCCGATGACCTATATACTCATACACAGGACCCTACACACCGCCACTCCCAACTCTGCGATGGCCTATCTACTTGTACATAGGACCCTACACACCTCCCTTCCCAACTCTCCGATGACCTATCTACTTGGACATAGGACCCTACACACTGCCATTCCCAGCTCTCCGATGACCTATCTACCCATACACAGGACCCTACACACCGCCACTCCCAACTCTGCGATGGCCTATCTACTTGTACATAGGACCCTACACACCACCCACTCCCAACTCTCCGATGGCCTATCTACTTGGACATAGGACCCTACACACCGCCACTCCCAACTCTCCGATGACCTATCTACTTGGACATAGGACCCTACGCACCGCCATTCCCAGCTCTCCGATGGCCTATATACTCGTACAAAGGACCCTACGCACCGCCCTTCCCAACTCTCTGATGGCCCATATACTCGTACATAGCACCCTACACACCTCCATTCCCATCTCTCTGATGGCCTATCTACCCGTACATAGCACCCTACACACCTCCATTCCCATCTCTCTGATGGCTTATATACCCATGCATGAAACTCTACATACCGCCATTCCCAGCTCTCCCGTGGCCTACATAACCATACATAGGATTCTACACACCGCCATTCCTAGCTGTCTGCTCTTTTTCCCCATTACTGGTCCATGCTCCATTCAGACACCCAACTCTTGAACTGATCTTAAAAAGGAGCGATTTTGTTCTATCAGTGGGCTATACTGTGGGGACTGAATTGTTTTCTGGGGGTTTCTGAACATTGGCAAAGAACACAGAATGGTCTTAGAAGAAAAAGAAAAAAAAAAGTAAAAGGGCAGCTCAACCAATGAAAATACACAAATGATCCCCACTAGAAAGTTTTAGGATTAACAAAACCTAGAAGGCTGCAGCCCCATAATGGTTGAAGTGCTTTATAGTGTGCGTGTTGACAACGGCCTTGCAGTTTTCTTGTACGTCTGCAGCCAAGACTTTGGCTAGATATACCGAGTGCATGGACTGGAGCCAAAAGCTTCACCTTTCCCTTGGTTACCCTCCTGAATACAGCCATAATAGACAAATCTGAGGAGTAAAAACACATAAGGAACCCAAGTAGAGACATGGAGGGATCCTGCAGTCTAAAGTTAGAGACAAATTATATCAGAGTGACTCTACTCCTCCAGAGATTCCATGTAGAGGAACAATTGGTAGAAAGGCAGAATAATGACACGGGAACTTTAGGCCAAAACTAAGCTGACCTTTGGTATAAAACGTCCTGAAGAAAGAACAGTTCTGGTGGCCCAGGTACGGGGGGGGGGGGGGCTGAATACTTCATGTAGAAGGGAGCCAAATCCATGGAACACTTTTAAATGGGAACCAACCCGAAGCAAAATACCTGAGCACAAAGCCACAGACTGCTGCACTCCCCAGCAGCAAAAACTCAACATCATTGTCCCAGAAACAGATCCCAGGACATAGAAAACCCTTCCACCCGCAGCTTCTCACACAGGTATGTTGCACCATAATGGATTTCCTTTGAAGCTGGTTCAATGCACATATTTTCTATTGCCATCAAAATCTATGACATGTCACCCACCAGTTTTCATTGATTTTAATGGCAACACGTGTGTAAGTTCAAATGGTGGGCATGGGCCCTTGGGAAAATTGGCCAGGGTATAAATTTTAAGACTGGCTTTAATGACCTACTGAAAATGCCTGATGTCTGGCCGTCTTTGACTTCAAACATGAGTCTCTGACCTGGAAAGGATGCAACAAATGAGGTCACACTTTTTATTGGTTTGCGTGTTCCAGGTCACTGATCACTACGAAGGTCAGAAGATCAGCATGACACGCAATCTGCATTTCAAGGGGTAGTCAGCAATTGTGGCCTGAAATTTTTTTATAACACCAGAGACTTATGCCAACCAGAATGTATCCAACAAAGTAAAAGTTGGCAGCTCTACCTTTTGTGTGTATTGGATTTGTGGCTCAGGCCAGCCTTGCTATGGCAGCCATATCGCCCACTTCAGGTTTCCAGCCAGGCACAGAAATGGAACTAACTGCTATAGGCAACAAGAACGGTTCTCTCTTCAGTCCTTTACACCTGCCATCCAGTGAGGGTCTCAGAGATTTGTCACTTTAGAAGGTGCTACAAAGTGACCATAAGGCAGAACCTGGTAAAGAACAACACCTACGGTCTGTGTTCTGTGCATTGTATTAAGGGACAGCGATGGAGGACAGAGACCTCTCCGCACACTAAGAACAGCTTAGATAAAACAATAAAAGAAAGGCAGATCTTGCAGGCTGATGACAGTTCAGGAACCCCGTCCTGGAACATCGAACGGCTGTGCTTTGGTATGGCGCCTCAGTGAGCTGCCCTCCTCTCCTCCTGGCGCTTGGTGATGATGTATTTGAAGAACTCGTACACAGACCATGCAATGGCTGTGGAGGGCATCTGATAGATGATTCTGGCCTGAACTCCTCGGAAGTAGGCAGTGACACCGCCCACTTGATAAACCGTCCTAAAGGCATTCGCCATGCCGGTGATATGTCCACTAATGTTGGAGGAATTCAAGGCCAACGACTCTTGTGTGTTCAGTAAGGTTTTACAAACGTCCAGTGGTGTTGTAACGGCAGCAGCCACCGCCCCAGCACAGGCACCGGACAGCACATGGGAGGTTGGGTTGTATTGTCTCTGGGGATTTAGGTGCTCCTGCATGAACTCGTAGGTCATAAAGTGTATGGCCTGGAAGGGGATGTTCATGGTCAGCTGCGTCGTGTAGCTTCTGTAAAAGGCACCAGCACCCTCATTCCGCCACACGGCTCTCATACAGTCCGTCACTCTCCGATACGGCGAGTTGTACATCTGCATCCTCTGCTTGATCACTGGGAGAAGAAATGACAGGACATTACTGAGGATCCCAAGACACGTCAGCTTAAAGATCTCCAGCCAACCCCTTTCTTCAGATTAGGATAGAGCAGGGAAAGGCCAGAATCTCTGCCAGGTTTAGGTGTCAGCTAGATAGAAAAATCTCCAACTGGGACACCAACAACAACAGGGGTCCGAGCCTCCACCCTACTGTACATAGAGGGGTTTCCTGATGGCTACAAGTCCTAGAACTCTTCCTCTGGTGCTGTGGGTTGGGATAGGAGTAAACTATAAAAGTACAACCCCTCCCCCGGGCCATTCTGCCTTCTATCCTGCCGACTAGAGATGACTACAATCCCATTACTGGCCCTTCATGCGACCGTTTCATTGGGGTTTAGCCTCCCCCATGTACTGTTGTCATCCAGCAGGACCCCAGAGACCTCTAAATCAGAGATTCTGACCTTCCCAACTCAGAAATACGAGAGGTGACCCTCTTTCCGCAGGATTGAGAGGATGGGAACAGAGTCGGGAAGTAACACAATGCCCATCTGAAAGACAGACAAGACTCAGCCGGCCAGTCTGTGGCCAATATTTGGCAGACTGAGCCCTGAATGCCCAGCTAGGAAAATATTAGTCTGGATTTACAGCAGCATTTGAAAGTAATTAATATAAATGGTTCTGGAAAGGAAAACAATATGAATGGTTAGCGCCCTCCAGCATCAGGGATGCCCTCCAGGGTGTCCCCATCAGGGATACTCTCCACCTTTCCTCTGTCTGGTTATTGTCACCAGGGGCTGGAAGTCAGCAGAAATCTAACGAAATGCCAGTTGTCACCAGAGGAGAGTCAAATCTAATAGGGTCGCTTTTCTCACTGACAACTTTTCAGAGATTTTTTGTTCTCTTCACTTTGGAGAGATCTCTTCACTGTGTGGACAAGGAATGATGGGAAATCTCATGAATGGGACATGGAAGCCCAAAATCAATCCTGAGAGTACGGATAATATACAGGGCTGGGCATGGAGGGCGCGTGCAGGGGCCGGGCGCATGCAGGGCGCGTGCAGGGGCCGGTGCGCGGAGGGCGCGTGCAGGGGCCCGGGCGCGGAGGGCGCGTGCAGGGGCCGGGCGCGGAGGGCGCGTGCAGGGGCCGGGCGCGGAGGGCGCGTGCAGGGGCCGGGCGGCGGAGGGCGCGTGCAGGGGCCGGGCCCCGTTCATACCGATGTAACATGAGAAATGTTTTGGCTTTACCGATATTTCAGGTATATTTGTAGACTGATCGGACGATTTGGAATTCTTGCTGTATTTTCGCAAGAATGCAGATTAGTTACAGTGCAGGAAATGCGTATTTGCTCCTCGGCTGATGTTGAATGTTCGCCCCTCACACAGAAACGATCGGTCTAATAATGGAATGTTTGCCCCTCACACAGAAACGATCGGTCTAACAATGGAATGTTCGCCCCTCACACAGAAACGATCGGTCTAACAATGGAATGTTCGCCCCTCACACAGAAACGATCGGTCTAACAATGGAATGTTCGCCCCTCGCACAGAAACGATCGGTCTAACAATGGAATGTTCGCCCCTCACACAGAAATGATCGGTCTAACAATGGAATGTTCGCCCCTCACACAGAAACGATCGGTCTAACAATGGAATGTTCACCCCTCACACAGAAATGATCGGTCTAACAATGGAATGTTCGGTGTAACACTGAGAGACAGAATACAACAACAAATTCAGCAGAAATGCGTCTAACAAATGATGACGGATCTGCATGTTCATGAGGGAAAGAAGGATTTGATCCCCTATCATTCAGCAGGATTTCTGGCTCCCAGGTGTCTCTCATACAGGTAACAAGCTGAGATTAGAAGCAGTCTCTTAAAGGGAGTGCTGCTAATCTCATTGTGTTACCTGTATAAAAGACACCTGTCCACAGGAGCCATCAAACCATCAGATTCCAAACTCTCCACCATGGCAAAGACCAAAGAGCTGTCCAAGGATGTCAGGGACAAGATGGTAGACCTACACAAGGCTGGACTGGGCTACCAAACTATGGCCAAGCAGCTTGGTGAGAAGGTGACAACAGTTGGTGCAATCATTCACAAATGGAAGAAACACAAAACAAGTGTCAGTCTCCCTAGGTCTGGTGCACCATGCAAGATCTCACCTCGTGGAGTGTCAATGATCATGAGAACAGTGAGGAATCATCCCAGAACTACACGTGAGGATCTTGTCAATGATCTCCAGGCAGCTGGGACCACAGTCACCAAGAAAACAATTGGTAACACACTACGCCGACAAGGACTGAAATCCTGCAGTGCCCGCACGGTCCCTCTGCTCAAGAAAGCCCATGTCCAGCCCGTCTGAAGTCTGCCACTGAACATCTGAATGATGCCGAGGAGGACTGGTGGGAAGTGTTGTGGTCAGAGGAGACCAAAATCCAGCTCTTTGGCATCAACTCAACTCACCGTGTTTGGAGTAGGAGGAATGCTGCCTATGACCCCAATAACACCATCCCAACTGTGAAACATGGTGGTGGAAACATTCTGCTTGGGTGGGGGGGTTTCTGCTAAGGGGACAGGACAACTGCACCGCATCAAAGGGACGATGGACGGGACAATGTACCCTCAAATCTTGGGTGAGAACCTTCTTCCCTCAGCCAGGGCATTGAAAATGGGTGGTGGATGGGTGTTCCAGCATGACAATGACCCAAAACACACGGCCAAGGCAACAAAGGAGCGGCTCAAGAAGAAGCACATTAAGGTCCTGGAGTGGCCTAGCCAGTCTCCACACCTTCATCCGATGGAAAATCTGTGGAGGAGCTGAAAGTTCGAGTTGCCAAACGTCAGCCACCGAACCATAATGACTTGGAGAGGATCTGCCAAGAGGAGTGGGCCAAAATCCCTCCTGAGATGTGTGCGAACCTGGGGGCCAACTCCAGGAAATGTCTGACCTCTGTGATTGCCAACAAGGGATTGGCCACCAAGTACTAAGTCATGTTTTGTGAAGGGGATCAAATCCTTCTTTCCCTCATGAACTTGCAGATCCGTCATTTGTTAGACGCATTTCTGCTGAATTTGTGTTGTTGTATTCTGTCTCTCAGTGTTACGAACATTCCGAACATTCCATTGTTAGACCGATCATTTCTGTGTGAGGGGGAACATTCCATTGTTAGACCGATCATTTCTGTGTGAGGGGCGAACATTCCATTGTTAGACCGATCGTTTCATTCCATTGTTGAGAGGGGCGAACATTCCATTGTTAGACCGATCGTTTCTGTGTGAGGGGGCGACCATTCCATTGTTAGACCGATCGTTTCTGTGAGGGGCGAACATTCCATTGTTAGACCGATCGTTTCTGTGTGAGGGGCGACCATTCCATTGTTAGACCGATCGTTTCTGTGTGAGGGGCGAACATTCCATTGTTAGAACCGATCGTTTCTGTGTGAGGGGCGAACATTCACCATCAGCAGGGGAACAAATACACATTTCCTTCACTGTATGTGTGATGTCGGGAATCCCATTATCTGCAAGCAGCTTCTTCAGGTTCCTCTTCCCCGCAGTTCCTCCTTTATAGTCGCTGGATATCTTCTGGTGCGGAGAGTTAATAGCAGCCGCTGCTACAGATAAATGTTGTGCAGTTCGCTCACCCGCTTCTGCCCTCTCCGCCAATCACATTGCTGAGATCACTACTCCCACAATGCATTGTGTTCTATGGAGGGGCATTGGAGATCCTGCCATTCAGCTGCTCCTCCAATCACAGAAAACGATGCATCTTGTACAAGTAATATGAATGGTAGAGAACAGAAGGGGGCGGGCGAGCGGCACGACTTTCTGCAGAAGTGACACCCAGAGATGGCCGCTCAGGACAATATACAGCAGGAGGCAGGGAAGCCATTCATCAGGAGCCGCCTGCGGGTAATCGTACACGACATGGGGGGCTGTATAACCCCCCCAATAGAAAATCCACGGCTGGCCACACCTTCTTGTATGTTTAAAGCTGAAGTTTAGGGTGAGTAATGCTGAGGGACACATCAATGAGAGAACCAATCAGCACCTCTATAGACAGAGACGTACGCATTGGCCAAGTGGAGGGAGTCCAATAGAGGAACACATTGCTGGGAGAACACCCCCCCCCCCCATCATTCTGCCTCCGGTGTTCTGCAGCCCCGAAATCAACTCACCTTCAGCGGGATTCATCGCTGCGTCATGTAACAGCGTCGCTACGCAGCCAGCGGCCCCTGGAAGACAAAAACTGTCACAAGTGAGCAAGAGAACCAAATCTGTACAAAATCCCTCCTCTGCCGGGGCCGACCCTTCAATGGCTGGGGCTAACCCCTTCCCTCCCTGGGCTGATCCCCCCCTCCCCTGCCTGGGCTGATCCCCCCTCCCCTGCCTGGGCTGATCCCTCCCTCCCCTGCAGGGGGCTCACCCCTTCCCTCCCCTGCAGGGGGCTCACCCCCTCCTCCCGTCTGGGCTGACCCTTCAATGGCCAGGGCTAACCCCTCCCCCTGCAGGGGGCTCACCCCTTCCGTCCCCGGGCTGACCCCTCCCTCCCCTGCCAGGAGGCTCACCCCCTCCCCCCCCCCCCCCCGCCAGGGGGCTGAACCCACTCCCCCATCTTGGCTGACCCCCTGCAGGGGGCTCACCCCCTCCTCCCATCTGCAGAGGGCTGACCCTTCAATGGCCGGGGCTCACCCCGTCCCTCCCCTGCCTGTGCTGATCCCTCCCTCCCCTGCAGAGGGCTCACCCCTTCCCTCCCCTGCCTGTGCTGATCCCTCCCTCCCCTGCAGAGGGCTCACCCCTTGCCTCCCCTGCCTGTGCTGATCCCTCCCTCCCCTGCAGAGGGCTCACCCCTTCCCTCCCCTGCCTGTGCTGATCCCTCCCTCCCCTGCAGAGGGCTCACCCCTTCCCTTTCCTGCCTGTGCTGATCCCTCCCTCCCCTGCAGAGGGCTCACCCCTTCCCTCCCCTGCCTGTGCTGATCCCTCCCTCCCCTGCAGAGGGCTCACCCCTTCCCTCCCCTGCCTGTGCTGATCCCTCCCTCCCCTGCAGAGGGCTCACCCCTTCCCTCCCCTGCCTGTGCTGATCCCTCCCTCCCCTGCAGAGGGCTCGCTCACCCCTCCCCCTGCTGTATAAACATTCCTGACCGAGAAGGTCCATCACTAAACTCCACCACTCAATGCAATGCCAGCTGCAGCCCTCCACCAACCCCAGGGCACCCATTACAGCTCCACCCTTTTGTCAGCCCCTTTGATGTGTCCACAGACTCCTGGGTCAGGCTGGCGGGCTCAGGAACACCATGGCTGGACATTTCCCATACTGCTGGGTGGCAGGAGGAGCAGAACTGCAAATACATTGTGTGGGAAGTAGTAATACTCTGACCCCATCCCAATCCTCTCTGCTTACAACCACTATGCAGAGTTCCCCTTTAAGGATCTTCAGAAGTATCCACGGTACCATTTGTCAGATTCAACACTGAAAGGATGGAAATAAATTCTTCTCCAATTGTAAATCCCAAGTCAGTCTACTCATCCCCCGATTCTATGACACCCAATGATGATGTCACTCTGAATGCCCTTATTCCTGCAGGTGAAACTCATCCCCTGCCTCTCTGACCCCAATGATGGTGTCACTCAGAATGCCCGGTTCCTCCAGGTGACACTCATCCCGCCTCTATGACCCCAATGATGGTGTCACTCAGAATGCCCGGTTCCTCCAGGTGACACTCATCCCGCCTCTATGACCCCAATGATGGTGTCACTCAGAATGCCCGGTTCCTCCAGGTGACACTCATCCCGCCTCTATGACCCCAATGATGGTGTCACTCAGAATGCCCGGTTCCTCCAGGTGATACTCATCCCCTGCCTCTATGACCCCAATGATGATGTCACTCTGAATGCGATTCCTCCAGGTGAAACTCATCCCCTGCCTCTCTGACCCCAATGATGATGTCACTCAGAATGCCCGGTTCCTCCAGGTGACACTCATCCCGCCTCTATGACCCCAATGATGGTGTCACTCAGAATGCCTGATTTCTCCAGGTGATACTCATCCCCTGCCTCTATGACCCCAATGATGATGTCACTCTGAATGCGATTCCTCCAGGTGACCTCATCCCCCACCTCTATGACCCCACTGATGGTGTCACTCTGAATGCGATTCCTCCAGGTGACCTCATCCCCCACCTCTATGACCCCACTGATGGTGTCACTCTGAATGCCTGATTCCTCCAGGTGACACTCATCCCCCGCCTCTGTACACTGCAATACCTTCATGTTCTCTCCAGGAATTACCAGCGGCTCCCACAATCTGTAGTAACAGATCTCCCCATTTCTGCTCTGAGCTCTCCTCTGGGAAAGTATTTGGAGCTCCTGCAGGTAAAGGGTCCTTCCTTCAATAGTAATGATTCTAGAATGTTGGGGGGACGAGGGGACCCCTTACCTCTCACAGCCTCTGGACGTTGTCTGAAGTATCTGGTAGACCCACCACCAAAGAACAATTACTCCTAAAGGGCCAGTACCTGGAAAATGATTTCCCAGCATTGTGCCAAGTACCGCAGAGTCCGACTCCCCAATAAAGGATTCTATATTATGTGCGAGGGCGCAGAATACTGTGTGGGGGCAAAGCCGAACACAGAGCCATCTGACTGACAATATCCCCAACAAAACAGGAAGTACCTCCCCTGGGCTCCACCTACAAGTCACTTTGGGGTGGACTGACCCTTTAAAGGATAAGTTCACCTTTTGGACAAAATTAATAAATGCACATTTTTTTGCAGGTAAAAGATGTGTATTTATTATTTTTGTCTCCAGGAACATGTAAAGGGGGGAACATGTAACATATTGGACATAGTGGACTAATCCTTTAAGGTTGTGCTACAAGATGTCACCAGCAGGTGGCGATAAACTCACAATCAGCGCCCAGGGGGCTGGTGATTGGACGGCCCAGGGGGCTGGTGATTGGACGGCCCAGGGGGCTGGTGAGATCTCTTCTTGATAGAATTGGGGGGAGGGGGTCGACCCTGTTCTACTGACACCTTCACTTTTATTTAAAAAGAGGAAATTTGGGTGATAGAAATAAAATGATAAAATTAATCCCAAACCTGCTACAAAGAATAACTCCACCCACAAATAAGAGTGCAGTAATGGGCGGAGTTCAGGTCAATTCTTCCCAAAAACATTATTTCCATTTCAGGTCGGTACTCATTGAATCTCTCAGAAAATTCCTCCGGCATGTCGGTCTGTCCATCAATCCCCATTGGTGGAATCCCTGAGGAGCCCAAGCCATTATGGACACTCCCCCCCCCCCCAAGGAGCCCAGGCCATTATGGACACTCCCCCCCAAGGAGCCCAGGCCATTATGGACACTCCCCCCCCCAAGGAGCCCAGGCCATTATGGACACTCCCCCCCAAGGAGCCCAGGCCATTATGGACACTCCCCCCCAAGGAGCCCAGGCCATTATGGACACTCCCCCCAAGGAGCCCAGGACATTATGGACACTCCCCCCAAGGAGCCCAGGACATTATGGACACTCCCCCCCAAGGAGCCCAGGCCATTATCGACACTCCCCCCCCAAGGAGCCCAGGCCATTATCGCCCAGGCCACGACACTCCCCCCCCAAGGAGCCCAGGCCATTATCGACACTCCCCCCCAAGGAGCCCAGGCCATTATCGACACTCCCCCCCAAGGAGCCCAGGCCATTATCGACACTCCCCCCCAAGGAGCCCAGGCCATTATCGACACTCCCCCCAAGGAGCCCAGGCCATTATGGACACTCCCCCCAAGGAGCCCAGGCCATTATGGACACTCCCCCCCAAGGAGCCCAGGCCATTATGGACACTCCCCCCCAAGGAGCCCAGGCCATTTATGGAGCCCACACTCCCCCCCAAGGAGCCCAGGCCATTATGGACACTCCCCCCCAAGGAGCCCAGGCCATTATGGACACTCCCCCCAAGGAGCCCAGGCCATTATGGACACTCCCCCCAAGGAGCCCAGGACATTATGGACACTCCCCCAAGGAGCCCAGGCCATTATGGACACTCCCCCCAGCCCAGGACACTCCCCCAAGGAGCCCAGCCATTATGGACACTCCCCCAAGGAGCCCAGGACATTATGGACACTCCCCCAAGGAGCCCAGGACATTATGGACACTCCCCCAAGGAGCCCAGGCCATTATGGACACTCCACCATCTTTATAATGGCCTCAATGAGAGAAATAAGATGCGAGATCCAAAGTCTCAGCGACCAATCAAAACAGAAATACGGCTCGTTTATAGAACAGAGCTGGGGGGACAAGTACAGGAGGTTGAGGAGCTGGTGAAGGGGGGGTTCTGGACTACATAGTAAAGACTGCTGGAGCAGGAGGTGGGGGACTAAAGGTAAACAGGCTGCACTCATTTCCACAGGGGCATTCTCCACAAAGCTCCCCCCCCCCCCCATACACAGCTGAGTGCAGCCACACTGCGGTCTATTGGCCTGCAAATCCCCAATGTATGTGAACGTCTCCCTTCACTGACACAGTCACCTGAAGAGTGATTCAGAGAAGAGCAATTCCTCCGCTCCATAGAAGGAAGAGCCCTGACCAATCAATTCTCAGATATCACTGCACACATTGCTGGGTTATCACTGCTAAAGTTACCAAGTAAAGAGGAACTCCGGCCAAAATGGTTTCCCTAAATTTGAATATGTGGTGGAGGGTTCTCTTTATTGCTGCCCTCGTCTCCTTGGAGGTCATTTCCAGCCCAAGAAATTCTCTGTAAAGTGAAAACGCCGACCCAACCTTCACCGGGAAAGGGGGGGGGGGGCGATGTGACCAGGACGGGGTTCATTGTTGGGAGATGCCCCTCCCCCTTCTATTAATCTCCACCCATTGGTGAAGTCCAGGCTGGAGGCGGCTCCCTGGACTGTGCCGGCATTGCCCCTCCACCTGATTGCAGATATAAGGAATGGGCCCTCAGAATCCTCACAGCAAAGAGATCAGAGGACTGGGAACCCCAGAAGACTCCGTCCAGCGGAGGTCAGGAGACCCCGGAGGAGCGCCCAATGGAGTGACCCCTACCTGGGGGGGGCAGATTGCAGGGTGAGGGAAGACACCAAGCCAACACACAGAGAACCATGGGGAACCAGCCACCCTGTTCCTTCCTACAGTCCAGCTCCATGTCTATGCTCTGCGGCTCGGCCTGAACACTGGATACAGAATCCCAAACCAGCCCGGGATTCCCCTGTGTAGGCCAAAGCAACGCATCCTCCAGGACACCCCAGCAGAACATACTGGCCTTCCCCTCCCCCGCACAAAGCCAGAGGGGACCCCCCAACACTCGGGGGTAAGGGCAGCAAGTGAGTGAAAGGAGTGGGGATTGGATGACCAGTAGGATCACAGGGGGGGGGGGGGAGAATTCATCAGTCATGTGACCTCAGACAGGTCCTCCTCTATTCTCTAAGCAGAGGGTTGGGGGGGGGATGGGGAGGGGGAGGGGCTGAAGCTGTGGCTCTGTCCTGGGGGGGAAAGTCAGCTTCACTCTAAAGCTCATCATGGTCCGACTCCAGGCCAAACCTTCCAGTTCCCGGAGGGGGGGGGGGGGGGATGTCGGTTATTAATGCCGGATGCCTGGCTGTGTCTGCATTCAGTCCTATGGCTATGGACTCCAGACAGGTCAGATCTCCATGTATATCCAGACAGAAAGCATTGACAGCCAGGGAACCGGCATTGTCCCAGCAGCCCCGCCCTTTCCTCAGTGGGAAGCCGGCAGAGACCCAACATTCAGGTTCCTGTACTGACGCTCCAGGCGCAGGCGTGATCAGGAATGTGGTGGGGTGTAGGTATACGGGGGGGGGGGAGAGGTAAACGGTGTGGGGGGGAGATATACAGTGGGGGAGGGGGTATATGGTGGGGGGGAGGTATACGGTGGGGTGGGGGAAGGTATATCGGGTGGGGGGGGGTAAGATATCAGGTGGGAGGAGGTATACGGTGGGGGAAGGTATATCGGGGGGAGAGATATACAGTGGGAGAGGGGGTATATGGTGGGGGGAGGTATAGGGTGGGGTAAGGTATATCGGGTGGGGGGGTAAGATATCAGGTGGGAGGGGGTATACGGTGGGGGGAGGTATATCGGGTGGGGGAAGGTATACGGTGTGGAGGGGGAAGGTATGTCGGGGGGGGGGGTTTGGGGAGAGATACGGTGGGGTGGGGGAAGGTATATCAGGGGAAGGGGGGGGGTATACGGTGGGGGGAGGTATATCGGGTGGGGGAAGGTATATCAGGGGAAGGGGGGGGGTATACGGTGGGGGGGTATACGGTGGGGGGAGGTATATCAGGGGAAGGGGGGGGGTATACGGTGGGATCTCATGGCAGCAGTTACTCTCCATTAGCCCCATCCCAGGACATGTTGGGAGTCGGAGTCGCTCCTTCCACCAGTTACCAGAGAGGGCAGCAGTGAGATCCAGGGCCGGTGGCTGCCACTGCTGACCCACTGACAATGCTAGCTGCCGGACTTTCATACCAATCCAATCACTAACACTCATTCAGTGGAACAAGCAAGCAGCCAGTGAAGTCAGCACAGCTAATCTGCAGGGAGGTGATCAATGACGGCCCCTCCCCCCGGACTCTGGCCATTGGCTGAGTTTAGCTAAGACTCCACCTAATGCTTTCAGTTGTGGGTGGAGCTATGAAAGTATTTACAGATCAGTTCCTGCAATCCTGAGAGCTCAGATCACACAACATAAAAGAATGAAATCCCGGATGAAGCAAAGAGCTCAGCAAGCTGATTGGACAATAGCTGCCCTCTCTTCACGGGGCCCAGAAATCCGCGGAGCGACCAAGACAGGATGGTGAGCGTCTGGCACACGGCGCGGGAAAGTCAGCAATGCCGAGACGTCTGCGCTCTAGTGCCCTCCCCTGCGGCACGAAGCGGCTCCTGTGATTCGCTGACCAATCAGCCAATGGGGGGCTTCAGCAATACTGTCATTGATGGTAAGGCGGGTGTGCCGCCGGCAGTCTACAATTCCTTCATCCTCATCAGTCATGAATACACCGCCGGCTCCCGCTGACGCATGCCGCCTTAGGTGGGGGTGGAACCTCCAATGGCGGCTCACCTACTGAGTGAGGGGTTCTAGGAATTATGGGGTGACTATTCTAGGAGGGCACTTCCTGGCCCCCGGCGGGCGCTGTGATTAGTAGGGGCTCCAGTGGTACAGTCAGGGGGGAGGGGTAAGCGCAATTGTCAATACCGTTAGCTATATGGCTATTGCCCCCGGGGCGGATGACGTCACTCAGTGTCTTTTTCAGTTTCTCATAGCAAGCAAAATACAGGGCGTGTGCCGGCCCAGCTCCTGTCGCTGTAACATTCATTCCTCGCATCGGCCTCCAGATTCCCTCTGTGCGGATGATTTTGAACAAGGCTTCCATCACATTGCGATAGCGAGCGGCGGGATCAGGTTGTAGACTCTGCATCCGGGTCTGCGAGAGAAAAGGACAGTTCAGAGACAGTCACCTCACTTCCTTCCCTTCCCCCGCTATCCCACCACCAACCCTCCATCCCATCCATGCCGCCAACCCTCCACTCCATCCATCCATCCCATCCATGCCACCAACCCTCCATCTCACCACTGCCAAATGCTCCATCCCATCCATGCCGCCAACCCTCCATCCCACCACCACCACCAACCCTCCACTCCATCCATCCATCCCATCCATGCCACCAACCCTCCATCTCACCACTGCCAAATGCTCCATCCCATCCATGCCGCCAACCCTCCATCCCACCACCACCAACCCTCCACTCCATCCATCCCATCCATGCCACCAACCCTCCATCTCACCACTGCCAAATGCTCCATCCCATCCATGCCGCCAACCCTCCATCCCACCACCACCAACCCTCCACTCCATCCATCCATCCCATCCATGCCACCAACCCTCCATCTCACCACTGCCAAATGCTCCATCCCATCCATGCCGCCAACCCTCCATCCCACCACCACCCAACCCTCCACTCCATCCATCCCATCCATGCCAACCAACCCTCCATCTCACCACTGCCAAATGCTCTATCCCATCCATGCCGCCAGCAACCCTCCATCCCATCCATGCCGCCACCAACCCTCCATCCCATCCATCCCGCCACCAACCCTCCATCCCATCCATCCCGCCACCAACCCTCCATCCCATCCATCCCACCACCAATCCTCCATCTCACCACTGCCAAACGCTCCATCCTATCCATGCCATCCATGCCGCCAGCAACCCTCCATCCCATCCATGCCGCCACCAACCCTCCACCACTCAATCCCCATCACTGCCAAAAGCTCCATCCTACCCATGCTGCCACCAACCCTCCATCCCACCGCTGCCACCATCCCTCCAACCCTCCCATGATCCCATCCATACCACCACCCCCCCTCCATCCCATTGCCCCCATACCACAGCCAACCCTCCATCCCACCCTACCTCTAACCCTCATCCCACCACCGCTGCCAACCCTCCCTTGCACAGCTCCTGCCAACCCTCCATCCCACCACTGCCAACCCTCCATCCCACCACTGCCAACGCTCCAACCTATCCATGCTGCCACCGACCCGCCATCTCACCACCGCCAACCCTCCATCCCATCCATGCCGCCACCAACCCTCTATCCCACCACCGCCATCCCTCCATCCCACCAACCCTCCATGATCCCATCCATGCCACCACCGCTGCCAACCCTCCATCCCATTGCCCCCATACCACCTCCAACCCTCCATCACCAACGCTCCATTCCATCCATGCCGCCACTGACACCAACCCTCCATCCCACCACTGCCAACGCTCTATCCCATCCATGCCGTCACTGACACCAACCCTCCATCCCACTGCTATCGCCACCAACCCTCCATCCCACTGCTATCGCCACCAGCCCTCCATCCCACCCCACCACTGCCAACCCTCCCACGATCCCATCCATGCCACCACCACTGCCAACCCTTCAGCCCATTGCCCCCATCCCACTGCCAACCCTCCAGTCCATCCACCTCACCACCACCAACCCTCCTTCCCACCGCTGCTCCATACCACCGCCAACCCTCTATCCCACCCCACCTCCAACCCTCATCCCACCACCACTGCCAACCCCCCATCCCATCCAATGGGCCCTCCCACAGCAAGCACACAATAGAGGGGACCCGACATCCTGAGTCACCATGGCAACCAACCTCCGAGAAACACAAACCTAACCCTCTGTCACATTTCACCAACATGGCAGGTGGTAGAGGGATGTGGGAATGGAAATCATTGGATCCTGCAGACATCCCAATCCACAGCAGCACCGACCATGGCAGTGATACAGCTTTATAGAACTCCATCAGGTCCCTCGTCGCTCCCAGTCTCCTCCCCTCTGGGCTCCTACCAATCACATGGTCCATCCTGTGGAGTCACTGATGGAAGCTGTAGGAAACGATCAATAGCTGCCTGGGGGGGGATCCTCTGCACATCAATGACTCAAAGCTGATCTCCAGCTTCACTCTCAGGACCAACCTGATACCAACTATTCGCCACAAATAGGTGATCCGGCCTCCGTTCATGGCTCCTCCTCTTCTAGGTGTTCCTATAGTCAGCCACTTCCAATGGGGGAACTCAATCCCACCTACATCCACAGACATATAGCCTGGCTCAGCCCCGCCCACTCCTCAATGGATCCGACAGACAGCAGCAGGAGCCAATGGTTGCCAGGAGTGGAGTGAATCTTCCTGGAAGCTGTGAAGAGTCTGAGGGATACAGGAGGAGTCCAGAGATCTGATCCCCCATCACACACTGAGCCCAACCACCTCGCAGAGACCCTCCCCCGAGGAACAAATCACTTCACACCAAAATTATGTCTCCAGATATACCACCCCCCACCTACAGAGGGCGGACACAGCGATTGATGGAGACTCCTCCCCCTCACACAGTGCACTGAGTACATCAGGCAATGCATTATAATCCCTCCCACTCAGTGATGACTCCTCCCCCTAGCTATTCCTCCCTCAGTGGTGACGCTTCCCTGGTAACTCCTCCCCCCACCTTCACACACTCCATTGGGTCCATCAGGCAATGCTCCATTATCCCTCCCCCCTCAGTGGTGGCCCCTCCCCTCACGTTCACACATTCTACATCAGGCAATGCTCCAAAACCCCTCCCCCTCCAGTCACGGACCCTCCCTGGTAGCTCCTCCCTTCACAGTCTACACCAGAGGTAGGCAACCGTACCTACATGGGAGGAGTCAGAAATCACGGGGCGGAGTGCCGCTTTCTTACACTGGACTTAACCCTCTAATTGCTGTACTTCCGTGTCGCAGTCGTGTGCATTCCGTGTCGCAGTCGTGTGCATTCCGTGTCGCAGTCGTGTGCATTCCGTGTCGCAGTCGTGTGCATTCCGTGTCACAGTCGTGGGATTCCATCAGGTGGTAAGGACACAACATATCTCCTCCTCCCCGCCTGTCAGACACATTCGGATCGCTTTTCAGAGGAGGTGCAGTGTCTGCTGCACTTGTGAATGAGCTCTTAGATGCATTTGGTAGCGGCACCCTTAGGGCTCATTCATGCATTAAGTTTGCGGGTGGTAAAACCCTGCGGTTGAGTCATGGTTTTACCGCCCCCAATAGCTGCTGTGGCAGCAGCCAAAGAAGTACACATGCCATAGCAGGAATTACGCCCCCTGTTGGTGGGCGCTACCATCTGCCAATCACAACCCATTCAAGTAAACGGGGCCACTCTGCAAGCGCCCCACAACTGCATGCTTCTACGGGGTCTGTGGGGTCAAAGCGAGGGGGGTGAGAAAGCAACACAGGGCGTCCTGCTTTACCCCCTTCTTTGCTGTACTGCACAAGGTCACAGGGCACTTGCAGAGCGTCCTCATTCGCTGGAATAGGTTCCCCCACCAACCACGACGGGGCGCGCAGCTCCCCCCCCCCCCCGCCATCCACGACGGGCGCGCAGCTCCCCCCCCCCCCCCCCCGCCATCCACAACGGGCGCGCGCAGCTCCCCCCCCGCCATCCACGACGGGGCGCGCAGCTCCCCCCCCCGCCATCCACGACGGGGCGCGCAGCTCCCCCCCCCGCCATCCACGACGGGGCGCGCAGCTCCCCCCCCCGCCATCCACGACGGGGCGCGCAGCTCCCCCCCCCGCCATCCACGACGGGGCGCGCAGCTCCCCCCCCCCCGCCATCCACGACGGGGCGCGCAGCTCCCCCCCCCCGCCATCCACGACGGGGCGCGCAGCTATCCCCCCCCCCCCCCCCCCCGCCATCCACGACGGGGCGCGCAGCTCCCCCCCCCCGCCAACCACGACGGGGCGCGCAGCTCCCCCCCCGCCAACCACGACGGGGCGCGCAGCTCCCCCCCCCGCCAACCACGACGGGGCGCGCAGCTCCCCCCCAGCCATATACGACGGGGCGCGCAGCTCCCCCCACCCGCCATCCACGACGGGGCGCACAGCCCCCCCCCCCCCCGCCAACCACGACGGGGCGCGCAGCTCCCCCCCCCGCCAACCACGACGGGGCGCGCAGCTCCCCCCCCGCCAAACACGACGGGGCGCGCAGCTCCCCCCCCTCCAGTGATGGCCCCTCCCCTTCACACAGTCCACAGGGTACATCAGGCAATGCTCCATGACCCCTCCCCCTCCAGTGATGACCCCTCCCCTCACCTTCACACAGTCCACATCAAGCAATGCTCCATGACCCCTCCCCCTCAAGTGATGACCCCTCCCCTCCACACAGTCCACAGGGTACATCAGGCAATGCTCCATGACCCCTCCCCCTCCAGTGATGACCCCTCCCCTCACACAGTCCACATCAGGCAATGCTCCATGACCCCTCCCCCTCCAGTGATGACCCCTCCCCTCACACAGTCCACATCAGGCAATGCTCCACCTGACCCCTCCCCCTCCAGTGATGACCCCTCCCCTCACACAGTCCACATCAGGCAATGCTCCATGACCCCTCCCCCTCCAGTGATGACCCCTCCCCTCACACAGTCCACATCAGGCAATGCTCCATGACCCCTCCCCCTCCAGTGATGACCCCTCCCCTCACCTTCACACAGTCCACAGGGTACATCAGGCAATGCTCCATGATCCCGGCCACGGCTCCGGCCATCATGTGGGTGGTGACGGTGGATCCCTCTGGCAGCGCCTCGTACTCCAGGTCCCGGACTCGACCTCCAACGTTGGTCTCGATGGCGGCGCTCAGCTCCGGTTCGGGCCCGGCCGGCCAGCCACGTTTAACCCAGGCCCCGAGCACACGGGCGGGATCCCCGGCGGAGGCGCCCCGCTCCTTCAGTACGGCTTCCAGTTCCATGCTACAGTCTCCGGGCTGCTCCTGGCCGCCGGTCCGGGCCCCTGAGCGCCGCTCCTGGCTCTGAGAACCACCCGACACCGCCGTGGTGGCGCCACCGAGGAGAGGGGCCTAGGGACACACCCACCACGCGAACATTGGGCGGTCCCCTCTGGCGGGCGGACTCTGTTGCATAATCCACACACTTATTGGTTACCTGACACGCTCATCATTACTTGCACACCGTCCATTGGTCAAACACTTTGCCCTTTAGCGCCCTCCCTGCTTCCTGCTCAGTCATTGGCTGGAGACTTCTTAAAAGGCGGACCAATGCTGATTGGAAGATGCTCCTGTCATTCCAGGTCCATCCTCTGTGATTTCCTCATCTCCTGGCCGCCTGTCACTCACGTGTGCTGGTCCCATCCACTGGGCGAAAAATCCGGCGAAAATCTCGACAATTCGTCTTCCATCCAGTTAATGATAATAGAAGCAAATAGAAAATCGGTTTTGACAAAAAAATAAGGGAAAAGTTTGTAAAAAAATGGAAGGCGAATGTGTTCCCCGCCGAGGAATGTGTGAGGAAACAGACGGGCAGTGGATACATTGTTACCCGCTAAAAGCAACTGTCACTATTCCGGAGCCTTGGACCTCTCTCACGCCTTCGCCCTCCAATGCCGTTCACCACCTCCAACGCCGTTCACTCTCCGACCCCATTCACCCTCCGCCGCCGTTCACTCTCCGACCCCATTCACGTTCCGCCGCCGTTCACCCCCCGCCACCTCCAACGCCGTTCACTCTCCGACCCCATTCACCCTCCGCCGCCGTTCACCCCCCACCACCTCCAACGCCATTCACTCTCCGACCCCGTTCACCCTCCGCCGCCGTTCGCCCCCCGCCACCTCCAACACCGTTCACTCTCCGACCCCATTCACCCTCCGCTGCCGTTCACCCTGTGCCGCCTCCGATGCCGTTCACCCCCCGCCACCTCCAATGCCGTTCACCCTCCGCCGCCGTTCGCCACCTCCGACGCCGTTCACCCCGCCACCTCCAACGCTGTTCACCCTGCGCCGCCTCCGATGCTGTTCACCCCCCGCCACCTCCAACGCCGTTCACTCTCCGACCCCGTTCACCCTCCGACGCCGTTCGCCACCTCCGACGCCGTTCGCCCCGCCACCTCCAACGCCGTTCACCCCCTGCCGCCTCCGATGCTGTTTACCCCCTGCTGTCCCCTCAAAATAACTCAACACACCGCCATTAATGTCTAAACTGCCGGCAACAAAAGTGAGTCCACCCCTAAGTGACAAGGTCCACATTGGGCCCAATTACCCATTTTCCCTCTCTGGGGTCATGTGACTTGTTGGTGTTACAAGGTCTCAGGTGTGAATTAGGAGCGGGTGGGTTACATTCGGTGTTATCGCTCTCACTCTCTCATACTGGTCACTGGAAGTTCAACATGGAACCTCATGGCAAAGAACTCTCTCTTGTTGCTCTACATAAAGATGGCCGAGGCTATAAGGAGATCGCCAAGACCCTGAAACTGAGCTGCAGCACGGGGGCCAAGACCCTGAAACTGAGCTGCAGCACGGGGGCCAAGACCCTGAAAAACTGAGCTGCAGCACGGGGGCCAAGACCCTGAAACTGAGCTGCAGCACGGTGGCCAAGACCCTGAAACTGAGCTGCAGCACGGGGGCCAAGACCATACAGCAGTGTAACAGGACGGGTTCCATTTAGAACAGGCCTCACCATGGTCCACCAAAGAGGTTGAGTGCCCGTGCTCAGCGTCATATCCAGAGGTTGTCTTTGGGAAATAGAAGTATGAGTGCTGCCAGCATTGCTGCAGGGGGTGAAGGGGTGGGGGGGTCAGCCTGTCAGTGGGTCCAGCATTGCTGCAGGGGGTGAAGGGGTGGGGGGTCAGCCTGTCAGTGGGGTCCAGCATTGCTGCTGGGGGTGAAGGGGTGGGGGGTCAGCCTGTCAGTGGGTCCAGCATTGCTGCAGAGGGTGAAGGGGTGGGGGGTCAGCCTGTCAGTGGGTCCAGCATTGCTGCAGAGGGTGAAGGGATGGGGGTTAGCCTGTCAGTTGGTCCAGCAATGCTGCAGAGGGTGAAGGGGTGGGGGGGTCAGCCTGTCAGTGGGTCCAGCATTGCTGCAGAGGGTGAAGGGGTGGGGGGGTCAGCCTGTCAGTGGGTCCAGCATTGCTGCAGAGGGTGAAGGGGTGGGGGGGTCAGCCTGTCAGTGGTGCCAGCATTGCTGCAGAGGGTGTAGGGGGGGGTCAGCCTGTCAGTGGTGCCAGCATTGCTGCAGAGGGTGTGGGGGGGGGGTCAGCCTGTCAATGGTGCCAGCATTGCTGCAGAGGGTGTAGGGGGGGGGTCAGCCTGTCAGTGGTGCCAGCATTGCTGCAGAGGGTGTAGGGGGGGGGGTCAGCCTGTCAGTGGTGCCAGCATTGCTGCAGAGGGTGTAGGGGTGGGGGGGGGTCAACCTGTCAGTGCCCAGACCATACGCCGCACACTGCATCACATTGGTCTGCATGGTTGTCATCCCAGAAGGAAGCCTCTTCTATAGATGATGGACAAGAAAGCCGCAAACAGTTTTGTTGAAGACAAGCAGACTAAGACATGGATTACTGGAACCATCCTGTGGTCTGATGACACCAACATCAACTGATTGGGTTTATATGGTGTCAGGTGTGTGTGGCGGCAACCAGGTAAGGAGTACAAAGACAAGTGTGTCTTGCCTACAGTCAAGCATGGTGGTGGGAGTGTCATGGTCTGGGGCCGTGTTGTGGTGGGGGTGTCATGGTCTGGGGCCGCGTGGTGGTGGTGGTGGGAGTGTCATGGTCTGGGGCCGCGTTATGGTGGGGGGTGTCGTGGTCTGGGGCCGCGTGGTGGTGGGGGTGTCGTGGTCTGGGGCCGCGTGGTGGTGGGGGTGTCGTGGTCTGGGGCCGCGTGGTGGTGGGGGTGTCGTGGTCTGGGGCCGCGTGGTGGTGGGGGTGTCATGGTCTGGGGCTGCATGAGAGCTGCCAGCACTGGGGGGCTACAGTTCATTGAGGGAACCATGAATGCCAACGTGTACTGTGACATACTGAAGCAGAGTATGATCCCCTCCCCCCACAGACTGGGCCGCAGGGCAGTATTCCAACATAACGACCCCAAACACACCTCCAAGACCACCACTGCCTTGCTGAAGAAGCTGAGGATGAAGGTGATGGACTGGCCAAGCATGTCTCCAGACCTAAACCCTATTGAGCATCTGTGGGGCCTCCTCAAACGGAAGGTGGAGGAGCGCAAGGTCTCTAACTACCAACAGCTCCGTGATGATGTCATGGAGGAGGGGAAGAGGACTCCAGTGCCAACCTGTGAAGCTTTGGTGACCTCCATGCCCAAGAGGGTGAAGGCAGTGCTGGGAAATAATGGCGGCCACACAGAATATTGACACTTTGGGCCCAATTTGGACCTTGTCACTTAGGGGCGGAGTCATTTCTGTTTCCAGCGGTTTAGACATTAATGGCGGTGTGTTGAGTTATTTTGAGGGGACAGCAAATTTCCATGTTATACAATCTGTACACTGACTACGTCACATTGTAACAGAGTGTCATTTCTTCAGTGTTGTCATATGAAAAGAGAGAATCAAATATTGACACAAATGTGAGGGGGAGGGGGGACTCACTTCTGGGAGATTGTGTGTGTGTATATATATATATACATACATGCATTGCATACAGTCCGGGGGAGGGGAGGACTCGCTTCTGGGAGATACTGATATATATATTGTATACAGTGGGAGATACTGTACAGCCCCCCCCCCCCCCCCCCCCCCCCCCCCCCCCCCCCCCCCAACGTGCCTCTTCCCCTGATTTCTCGGTCAGGATCAATAGCACCGCTATCAACCCATCCCCCCATGCCAGGGTGCTAGGGGTAACCCTGGATTCTGAACTGTCCTTTCAGGCCCACATCCAATCCCTGTCCAAATCATGCCGCCTCAACCTCCGCAACATCTCCAGAATACGCCCCTTCCTGACCAATCACACCACAAAGCTCGTAATTCACTCCCTGGTTATCTCTCACCTCAACTACTGCAACTCCCTCCTCATTGACTTAGCTTTACATAGGCCACCCCCCTCCAGTCCCTCATGAATACTGCTGCCAGACTCATCCACCTTACCGACCGTTCAGTGTCCTCCACCCCTCTCTGTCAATCCCTCCACTGGCCTCCATTCAGTGTCCTCCACCCCCCTCTGCCAATCCCTCCACTGGCCTCCATTCAGTGTCCTCCACCCCTCTCTGCCAATCCCTCCACTGGCCTCCATTCAGTGTCCTCCACCCCCCCTCTGCCAATCCCTCCATTGGCCTCCATTCAGTGTCCTCCACCCCCCTCTGCCAATCCCTCCACTGGCCTCCATTCAGTGTCCTCCACCCCTCTCTGCCAATCCCTCCACTGGCCTCCATTCAGTGTCCTCCACCCCCCTCTGCCAATCCCTCCATTGGCCTCCATTCAGTGTCCTCCACCCCCCTCTGCCAATCCCTCCATTGGCCTCCATTCAGTGTCCTCCACCCCCCTCTGCCAATCCCTCCACTGGCCTCCATTCAGTGTCCTCCACCCCTCTCTGCCAATCCCTCCATTGGCCTCCATTCAGTGTCCTCCACCCCCCCTCTGCCAATCCCTCCATTGGCCTCCATTCAGTGTCCTCCACCCCCCTCTGCCAATCCCTCCACTGGCCTCCATTCAGTGTCCTCCACCCCTCTCTGCCAATCCCTCCATTGGCCTCCATTCAGTGTCCTCCACCCCCCTCTGCCAATCCCTCCACTGGCCTCCATTCAGTGTCCTCCACCCCTCTCTGCCAATCCCTCCATTGGCCTCCATTCAGTGTCCTCCACCCCTCTCTGCCAATCCCTCCACTGGCCTCCATTCAGTGTCCTCCACCCCTCTGCTCCCAAGATCTTCTGCTCTCTAGTCTCTGTGTCACCTCCTCCCATGCTCGCCTCCAGGACTTCTCCCGAGCTTCTCCCATCACATGGAACTTCCTACCCCAATCTCCTAATCTATCCACCTTAAGACGATCCCTGAAAACCTTTCTCTTTACAGAAGCCTATCCTGCTTCTACCTAGTAAACTGCCATTTATTTCCTCCATCAGCTCCTCCCCCACAGCTATTACCTTTTGTATCCCTCAACCCTTCCTCCTAGATTGTAAGCTCCCAGAACCAGGGCCCTCGGATTCCTCTTGTACCAAATTGTATTGTAACTGTAATGTCTGCCTTCATTTTGTACAGCACTGCGCACACTGTTGGTGCCATATAAATCTTGTATAATAATAATTTCTGTCCAATTTATCCTTCGCAATTCAATGAGTTCAAATGATTTTTCTACCAACATAAGGCAACCGGGAGGTAGAGGGAGGAGTTAAAGACATCACATTAATGGCTTCCAGCCTGACCCCCCCCCCCCCCCCCATCCTGACCTTTGACACCCTCATCTTGGCCTTTGACCCTTTCCTCATCCTGACCTCTGATGCCCGTTTACACCATGACCTCTGACCACTCATCCTTATCTCTGACCCCCTCCACATCCTAACCTCTGACCCCATCCACATCCCCACCTCTGGCCCTCTCCTTGTCCTGACCTCTGACTCCTCATCCTGAACTCTGACCCTCTCCTCTTCCTGACCTCTGACCCCCTCCTCATTCTGACCTCTAACCCGTTCCTTCTTCTGGCCCGACCCCTCCTCGTCCTGGCCTCTGACCCCCTCCTCATCCTGACCTCTGACCCTCTCCTCGTCATGACCGCTTACCCTCTCCTCATCCTGACCCTCTCTTCATCCTGACCTCTGACCCTCTCCTCGTCATGACTGCTTACCCTCTCCTCATCCTGACCTCTGGCCCTCTCCACATCCTGACTTTTGACCCCTTCTTTTCCTGATCTCTGGTGCTCTCCTTATCCTGACCTCTGATCTTGTCCTCACCCTGACCTCTGACCCCTCCTCATCCTGACCAGACTCCCCTTCATCCTGACCTCTGGTCCCCTCCTCATCCTGGCCTCTGACTCCTCCTCACCTGACCCCCTCCACATGCTAAGCTCTGACCCCATCTACATCCCCACCTCTGACCTTCTCCTTGTCCTGATCTCTGACTCCTTGTCCTGATCTCTGACTCCTCATCCTGAACTCCGACCCCCTCCTCATTCTGACCTCTAACCCTTTCCTTCTTCTGGCCCCTGACCCCTCCTCATCCTGGCCTCTGACCCTCTCCACATCCTGACCTCTGATTCCTCTTCATCCTGACCACTGATCCCTCCTTGTCCTGGCCTCTGACCCCTCCTAATCCTGACCTGATCCCTCCTCGTCCTGACCTCTGACCCCTCCTCATCCTGACCTCAGACCCTCTCCTCACCCTGATCCCTCCACATCCTGATCTCTGGTGCTCTCCTTATCCTGACCTCTGATCTTGTCCTCACCCAGACCTCTGATCTCTCCTCACCCAGACCTCTGATCTCTCCTCACCCTGACCTCTGACTCCCGTTATCCACATCCCCCACCTCTGACTCCGTCCTGAACTCCGACCCTCTCCTCGATCCTGACCTCTGACCCCCTCCTCATTCTGACCTCTAACCCTTTCCTTCTTCTGGCCCTTGACCCCTCTTCATCCTGACCTCTGATTCCTCTTCATCCTGACCTCTGATCCCTCCTCGTCCTGGCCTCTGACCCCTCCTAATGCTGACCTCTGGCCCTCTCCTCACCCTGACCCCTCCTTGTACTTGCCTCTGACCCCTCCTAATCCTGACCTGATCCCTCCTCATCCTGACCCCCTCCTCATCCTGACCTCTGGCCCTCTCCACATTCTGACCTTTGGCCCTCTCCTTGTCCTGACCTCTAATCTCTCCTCGTCCTGACCTCTAATCCCTCCTCACCCTGACCTCTGACCCTCTCCTCATCCTGACCTGACTCCTCTTTGTCCTGACCTCTGACCCTCTCTTCATCCTGACCTCTGGCCGCCCTCTCATCCAGACCTCTGACCCCTTTTCCTGATCTCTGGTGCTCTCCTAATCCGGACCTCTGATCCCTCTCTCATCCTGACCTCTGATCCCTCTCTCATCCTGACCAGACTCCTCTTCATCCTGACCTCTGGTCCCCTCCTCGTCCTGACCTCTGATCCCTCTCTCCTCCTGACCTCTGATCCCTCCTCGTCCTGGCCTCTGACCCCTCCTAATGCTGACCTCTGGCCCTCTCCTCACCCTGACCCCTCCTTGTCCTTGCCTGTGACCCCTCCTAATCCTGACCTGATCCCTCCTCATCCTGACCCCCTCCTCATCCTGACCTCTGGCCCTCTCCACATTCTGACCTTTGGCCCTCTCCTTGTCTTGACCTCTAATCTCTCCTCGTCCTGACCTCTAATCCCTCCTCACCCTGACCTCTGACCCTCTCCTCGTCCTGACCTCTGATCCCTCCTCGTCCTGGCCTCTGACCCCTCCTAATGCTGACCTCTGGCCCTCTCCTCACCCTGACCCCTCCTTGTCCTTGCCTCTGACCCCTCCTCATCCTGACCCCTCCTCATCCTGACCCCCTCCTCATCCTGACCTCTAATCCCTCCTCGTCCTGACCTCTAATCCCTCCTCGTCCTGACCTCTAATCCCTCCTCACCCTGACCTCTGACCCTCTCCTCATCCTGACCTGACTCCTCTTTGTCCTGACCTCTGACCCTCTCCTCATCCTGACCTCTGACCCTCTCTTCATCCTGACCTCTGGCCGCCCTCTCATCCAGACCTCTGACCCCTTTTCCTGATCTCTGGTGCTCTCCTAATCCGGACCTCTGATCCCTCTCTCATCCTGACCTCTGATCCCTCTCTCATCCTGACCAGACTCCTCTTCATCCTGACCTCTGGTCCCCTCCTCGTCCTGACCTCTGATCCCTCTCTCCTCCTGACCTCTGATCCCTCCTCGTCCTGGCCTCTGACCCCTCCTAATGCTGACCTCTGGCCCTCTCCTCACCCTGACCCCTCCTTGTCCTTGCCTGTGACCCCTCCTAATCCTGACCTGATCCCTCCTCATCCTGACCCCCTCCTCATCCTGACCTCTGGCCCTCTCCACATTCTGACCTTTGGCCCTCTCCTTGTCCTGACCTCTAATCTCTCCTCGTCCTGACCTCTAATCCCTCTCTCACCCTGACCTCTGACCCTCTCCTCGTCCTGACCTCTGATCCCTCCTCGTCCTGGCCTCTGACCCCTCCTAATGCTGACCTCTGGCCCTCTCCTCACCCTGACCCCTCCTTGTCCTTGCCTCTGACCCCTCCTAATCCTGACCCCTCCTCATCCTGACCCCCTCCTCATCCTGACCTCTAATCCCTCCTCGTCCTGACCTCTAATCCCTCCTCGTCCTGACCTCTAATCCCTCCTCACCCTGACCTCTGACCCTCTCCTCATCCTGACCTGACTCCTCTTTGTCCTGACCTCTGACCCTCTCCTCATCCTGACCTCTGACCCTCTCTTCATCCTGACCTCTGGCCGCCCTCTCATCCAGACCTCTGACCCCTTTTCCTGATCTCTGGTGCTCTCCTAATCCGGACCTCTGATCCCCTCTCTCATCCTGACCAGATCCTCCTCTTCTCATCCTGACCTCTGATCCCTCTCTCCTCCTGACCCTTCTTCATCCTGACCTCTGACCCCTCCTCCTCATTCTGACCCTTCCTCGTCCTGACCTTCTCCGCATCACAACCTCTGACCCCTCCTCATCCTGACCTCTGCCCCTCTCCTCGTACTGACCTCTGACCCCTTTTTTTTCCCCCAGATCTCTGGTGCTCTCCTCATCCTGACCTCTGTTCCCCTCCTCATCCTGACCTCTGGTCCCCTCCTCGTCGTGACCTCTGATCCCTCTCTCCTCCTGACCCTTCTTCATCCTGACCTCTGACCCCTCCTCATTCTGACCTCTGACCCTTCCTCGTCCTGACCTTCTCCGCATCACAACCTCTGACCCCTCCTCATCCTGACCTCTGCCCCTCTCCTCGTACTGACCTCTGACCCCTTTTTTTCCCCAGATCTCTGGGGCTCTCCTCATCCTGACCTCTGTTCCCCTCCTCATCCTGACCTCTGGTCCCCTCCTCGTCCTGGCTTCTGACCCCTCCTCATCCTGACCTCTGCCCCTCTCCTCGTACTGACCTCTGACCCCTTTTTTTTCCTGATCTCTGGTGCTCTCCTCATCCTGACCTCTGTTCCCCTCCTCATCCTGACCTCTGACCCTTTTTTTTTTCCTGACCTCTGTTCCCCTCCTCATCCTGACCTCTGACCCCTCCTCACCCTGACCTCTGACCCCTCCTCACCCTGACCTCTGTTCCCCTCCTCACCCTGACCCTCTGGCCCCTCCTCGTCCTGACCTCTGATCCCTCATCCTGACCTCTGACCCCTCCTCATCCTGACCTCTGATCCCTCCTCATCCTGACCTCTGACCCCTCCTCATCCTGACCTCTGACCACTCCTCACCCTGACCTCTGATCCCCTCCTCATCCTGACCTCTGATCCCTCCTCATCCTGA